TTTCAAAAGTACCATATTTAACACAGATTAAATGTGTACATCCCAAGCACTTTTCACAGCGCATATATTAAGCAAGCAAAACATTGGCAAACATTTTGTGTTGATTTAATACCCATTCCTTTAACGACATTTTAAATGGCTCTCAAATAATTTCTACAATTTTGTTTTGTTTATTCGCCAATCACGTAACACTTACGTGTTTCTTCGACTTATAAACAGACAGTCTTCGGATCGAGTGATATCATCGCCGATTGATCACGACCCACTGTGCGGCACGACTTTTGATGGACAGTGTGTGTTGATTGTGTTTGGGTATTCAAAAATCTTCGGCATGTGCATTAAAATGACAAAGAAATTAAAAACGAAATAAATAAAGAAAGCGTTTTTAAGTGCCCAAGTAGCCCATGCACTCAAAATGCACTTGAAGACCTCCACAATGTTGATAAAAGCCAAGCTGCAGCAACATCCCGAAGAATTATATTCGGAAAAGACAACAATAAGTGTTGTTTTTTGTGTGAATGGGAGCACAGTAAAAGCAGGAAAAAATCGAGAGAAAAAACAGCAGCAGCCGAAAGACCTAATAAACGCAGCCAAATGAATTATGTGCCTGCCCATCAACTTTTGAAAACAGCAACATGCAATGCAACAAAGGCAGCATACAACTGCGGCTAAAATAATAGCTTCAATAAAGCCATAAATTTCGTGGAATATAAAAAGTATATATTCCCGATTACGAGCTATCAGCATGCTAAATCGGGCATACAATTCGTTTCTTAATTTAACAGCATTTTCAAGTTGAGTGCTATGAAAATGGTACGCTTTAGGCTTTGATTTAAGAGAAAACTAATGGGATAATTTATAAATAGTTTTATATTATAAACATAACTCTCAATCAGCAGCTATCAGTTGTTAAAAGTAGGCTGCTCTCCCCCGCAAAAAATTACTGATTAAAGTATTAGTCACAATTTTAAAAATACTGACATTGCTAAAATTATTACCGACATTGTTTATCAAGTATGCAAGACCGATAAACCATAAAAACACATTGCATATCTCCCTCACATCGCGGCACTCAAAATGCGCGGCTTTGCGGCAATTAACACTGACACTCCCACGCAGAAACAGAAACCGAAACAGAAACAAAAACACCAGAAGAATGAGAAAGAAACACAGAAACCAGAGACGAAAGACAAACAAAAGCAACGCTTTGTATGTGGGTGTGGCAACCCTGTCTCAATTTTTGACATAAGCAAATGGCAACAATGTGCCACTCACATGCAATAAGCAATAATCCTGAAAGCAACTTCCGGATCCTTAATACCCTTAAAAAAGGATGGGCACCATCGTTTAGCAATATTTGTATATATTGATATTTTAAGGATTTCAAATTTAAAAGCAATTTTATTATAAATAGCAAACATTTTTTAAGTACTTTCGAGTTCTTCCTAATATTCATCGAAATGATTTTAAGGCCAAACAAAATTATCTCTAAAATACCAGAAATAACTTCTGTAAAAGTTCCCAATGGCTTATCAACACACAACGAGAAATTTTAAAGTAGGGAAACTACTTTATTATAATGTGAAGCTTAGTCCCCTGATAATACTTTCAGCAATATTATACAAAGTCCCCATGGGATGAAGAAATTTGTTTTCTATAATTTTAATATCGTAGTATACAGCACTCATTGAGGAAATAAAAACGAGTACGGAATTGTTTTGGGTTTTGGCTATCCATTTTTTTTTTTATTTCAAGCCGTGGCATTAGTCATCGCAGCATCCAACAACAATAGTGGAATAACGAAAACAGATTTCAGCTTTCAAGTGTCAATCAGTGTAGTGTTTGTTCCCCGCCCACACAACTCCCACCCATTTTGTGCCGTTTGCCAGTGTTTATCCCGATCTCATTTGGAATCCGTTTCTTGCAAATCGTTCCGTTGGCCACGCAGATTCGTTGGAGATCTGAGCACAATGGACCCGTATTGTTCGACCGATTAACGCCAAACTCGCGTGCGACAGGAGCTGCCTTAAATAACACACTCAAAAGAAAATTGAAAGTATAATTTTATTTGTATACCCACTTCTGGTAAAAAAAACCGTTTAAAAGATCAAAAACCCGTTTAAAAATTCGATCCTTTTATATTTAGTATCACAATAAGAAAACTTTTTTATCATAGATTGGTTTGTTATAAGGTAATATTTAAATATATTGAGAGGTTCTAACAAATCCTAATGAATCCGAAGTTTCTCAATCTTCCTCTTAAGAACTATTAAAACCATTTTTATGCCTGCATAAATTCCGTTCTTTCCTCTCCGTTGGTAATTGCAATCAAGCAAAGTCTTTTTATGTCTTCCAGCATATACGGATTTTATGGCCTGCACTCGAAGCAATTGCAGCGTGGGCGTTTATTATTTCTCTCTCTTCGGTTTCGGAATTGCCGGGAATTACGAGCTCAGCGAAATGCAAAATGCAAAGCGGGTTCGAGAAGTCAGGCGAAAAAATCAGCAAGAAACAATTGTAAACTATTAAATGTGTGCATAAAATTGAACGAAAATTGCTCGACTCTGGTTGCCCCTTGAACCAAGGTGACGAGTCCACAGTGGGGAAAGAAGTGGGATTTCAGAGAAATTTCAAAGCAATTATAAAAATATTTATAAAATTCATTTAAGACCTTGAAAGGGTTTATTTATTTCAGAAATAGAAAAAACTTTCAAATCGTATTTACTAAGAATATAAAATGAATTTCATGTAAAAAGTATTTAACTTTTCATGATCCATTGTGAGCCATGAAGAAGAATCATGAAAAATGAGAAATCAGCAGAATTTATAGAACTGTATTTCTGAAATGTAAAATACTATTTACAGGAAGTAATATTTATCTAGAGTATACTATTAAAAAACTATACTCACAAATAAGAAATATCTTTAACTCTTACTGTTTGTATTAGTTTTAAAATTATTCTGGGGATTCCCGCTCTTAACCCCTTGTGTCCCACTGTGCGACTTGTCTTGGGTTTGAGAGCAGAGATCTGAATTGAAGCTGCGGCCGAGCTGAGACGTAGTTTTTCACGCTCTCCCGGTGACGGGGCCTGTGATTTTTATTTTTAGTTTAAGCAGAAACTGGTTTTCCGTGGTATCCCCCCCATCCTCCGCCCCACGAAAAAAGGGGTGGCAGCAGAGCGACTTTTACGTGGTGTCATGGTATGGAAATAAATGCACGTTGTACGTTAACGTTATAACGCTGGCCTTGCCCAAATATTATTCTCGCGAAATTCGCTTGAAATATTCGTCAAGTGAAAGACGGTTTGTTATTTATTTGTTTGATTTTCGTTTGCGACTTTTAGTTTGTTTAAAATTAGTCACTATGGGGAGGATGGGCAGCGACGTCGACAGCGCCATTGAACTTGCGTTTTTCGACGCATGCGCTGCTGCTTTTAATGATTTTGTTCTTGGTTTGCAGTTGCAGAGGGCACCACCAAAAAAGGTTATTTTTTTGTAAATATTTAAGGGAAATTCTCCCAGAGCGATAAGGTATATTTGCGTACTTTATCAAGGGGGTTATAAGCCAAAGTAAAGTGTCTACAGTGGAATTCGGAGATGATGGCTTTCAGCTTATATATTTGTACTCTTTTTATGAATGAATAAATGTAACAAAAATGTTTGATAATTAAATTAGTCATCGTATGCTTCTAGCAAAAACAAGAGCTTGCAACTGCTGTATCAACGCCATTTTTAATTCTACATAATCAATCTATAATCCTAGAAATCCAATCAAAAATCGGTACAAAGTACAAAAAGCAAGCACAATATTAAATCAAAATGCGCAGCTTTAATATATATTTACAAATTTCAAACATACGTGTTCAGCCTAGTTTGTATTATTATTATTTTAATATTATATTCTGACTTTTGTTTACATTTTAAACAATGTACGGGTACTGCTTACAATGATAAACAAAAACAGTCAACTGAAAATCATTTAATTCATGAAGGTTTGAGTTCAAATATTTTTGAAATATTAAGAGCTGGTTTCTTGAATAGCATGATTTTCGTACTATTGTTTCCTAGTGTTGCTTGATAACGACTCTTCACTGTTCATCTCCAAGAGCGCGAGAGAGTGGAGATAAGAGATGCGGGAAAGGGAAACTTGTTTGCTCATCTGCTGGCCCCCCTCCACCCACATCCACGCACGCACCCCTTTTCCCTCTCTCCCCCGCACATGCAGCAGCAGCGGTCGCAACGGATTAACCGTTAGCTGGCGATGCTTTGTCTCTGCTTCTCTCGTCTCCCAGTGGCGGATAAAAGGGGGTCTAAGGGGAACCAGGGGGAAAAGGACTGGATAATCAACGTAATGAATTTCGTATTGATATTAGAGAGTAGTTTTTTAGTAAATGTTGCCTCTACAAATTTTACTCAAGATCTGTCCCTGATTTCTCCTGCTCCTGATGGGGACTCTAGATGGGGTAAACGGGGATATTTATTCCCTTTTATTCTATTTGTTTTTTAAGTAATATCTATATAAATAAATATATACTGGCACGAATTCAATGTTTGAATTTTATATTTTTGTTGATCCTATTATCAAGTTATTTTAATAATATCTTTTTTGAATTTTCTACATGTCAAATGGATAAATAATAGTTGGACCCCTCAAAAATGTAACTTTAGATCCGCCCCTGTTTTTCTCCTCCTGCTGCTCCTTCTTCCTCTCTTCTTCTTCTTTTTCGTCCACTTCATGGGGGGTTGCTTTGCACTGTTGAAGGCCAGCGTTGCAGTCGGCGTCTCTGCCAGCGTCGCAGTCGGCGTCGCTGCTCCCCATTGTCAACGCCGACGCCCACATGCACCGCTTAACGGTTTTCTTCCTGCCCCTCGTGTATATGTGTTCGTGTGTGTGAGTCATTCAATTTGAATTTTAATAATTTGCCACCTTTTTCCCATTTATTGAATATTGCCTGCCCAACTATTATTATCTTCTTTTTCTCTTTCCTTTTGTCACTTACCTCTATGAATTTCTCCTTGATCTCGGCCTTTTCATCAATGGACAGCGTTTTTGTGAATTTGTTTAGTGTTGCCATTTTCGCTGTGTGTGCTTTTCTTCTTGACTTTCTTAATTATTTATAACTGCCGCCGCTGATTGGTTATTATTTTAAATAAATTATGCGTTTATTATCAATTTCACTTTGTGGACGTTTTCGCAGTCGGCGTTTTTTATACGCTCCTTTTCTTCTTTTTTACCGCGCGCTCCTTTTTTGTATGTCTATGATTGTGCGTTTGTTTATTAATTCTTAAATTTCTTTATTTTTTAATTTGCACCCACACACTTCTGTTTTTGTTAGTGGTTTGTAACTGGTTTTCTTACCAAAAAAAAAAATAGTCTGCTATTAACCTTCTTGTTTATTTACAATTTCCACCGAGAACGGTTTGTTTTCACGTTCAATGTGGTGTCCAAGCTCGAAATCGACCGGCTACTGTGCGTGCGAAGCGTTTTTGTTAACAGTATTTAACAATTTTGTTAAGGCGACGCGACAAAGTGGGGAGCAAAACAACAATGCGAACAGTGTGGCCGCGGAAAAGTTAAAAAAAATACCAAGCCACTTTTGAATTCAACGAAAAAGGGAGTATATCGATATATATATATTTAACGACAACGCAATTATGAGTATTTATCAATAGCCGATATGTTGTCCTTTTTATGTCAGTTATTTTTAAGTTTACGATGAGTTGTATAAATACTAACCAAAGTGCTCTTTTAGAGTTCATAACTTTACCAAATTTAATCCGATCTTAAAGTGGCATACCTTTAAAGACTTGTGATTCGATCCTCTAAAAATCTGCATTCAAAATTTTCAATTTAACGATTATCAAATTTTGGACCCATTTTCATGTTAGTTATTTCTAATTTTCCGATGTTTTGCAATACAGTGACTCAAAATTGGACTTCGAGAGTTCATAACTTTACCAAATTTAATCCGATCTTAAAGTGGCATACCTCTAAAGACTTGTGATTCGATCCTCTAAAAATCTGCATTCAAAATTTTCAATTTAACGATTATCAAATTTTGGACCCATTTTCATGTTAGTTATTTCTAATTTTCCGATGTTTTGCAATACAGTGACTCAAAATTGGACTTCGAGAGTCCATAACTTTACCAAATTTAATCCGATCTTAAAGTGGCATACCTCTAAAGACTTGTGATTCGATCCTCTAAAAATCTGCATTCAAAATTTTCAATTTAACGATTATCAAATTTTTGACCCATTTTCATGTAGCTATTTCTAATTTCGGATGTCTTGTAAAAAGACATATTTGGATATAAGTTGCCTGTTCACTTTATGTTTTTATGTATATTCTATTATGCATACATACTACGAAAGAAACTAATCAAAGTTGGCTTAAAGTTTGTTTTCTTGTTGTTCGATTTGTGGAATTGTATTTCAGGTATTTATCAAAACATTTTAGTATATATCGTTTACCGTGTGCTATTTCAACATACTTATACGTTGGTCACACTTTATCTTGCCATAAAACAAATCGCCTGGTCACACTTCACGGTCCAGAATTGTTGCCTTTTTATTTTATTCCCGCATTTCTTCGCTGACCAGCGATTTCAGCCGCTTTCTTTTGGCCTGATTTAAGGTCAGAAGTCACGCCAACAGACGCCGGAAGCCGGAACGCGCCCCACCCCGCCCCTTTTTGCCGAGGTGACTGCCGCTGTTGTTGTTTTTATCTCCCTTAAAAACCAGCTGCTGTGCGTGTGTGAGTGTGCGTGTGTGTGAGTATTCCCCAACTGCATGTGGGTGTGTGTGTACAAGTTCTCAAACAACAACAAAAGCGTAAAACGCATTTTCATTTGATTGCGATTTTGATTTGATATATTAATTACAGAAAGAAAGGGAGAGAAAGTAAACAAAGGAGACAGCGTGCGAGCTAGAGAGAGAAAGAGAGAGCGAGCGAGATGGATGTGGAGGAGAACTACGAAAACCCCGCTGAGATGCAGAATTTGAATATGAATTTGAGTCTGAACCCGAATTCGACTCCAAATTCGGACAACCAGCAACAACAGCAGCAGCAACAACAAATGCAATGTGAACCGTTATTCGGACTCACAACCAATACAACAACAACCACAAATCCCATGATGGCCATACCCCTGCCCCCGCCCCCTGGAATGATGCCCCACTCCAGTCCGAATATCAGCACGAATTCGAATTTGATTCCGAACTCGAATCCGAATTCCAATTCAAATCTAAGTCCCAGTCCATCCGCATCCGCAAACGCATCCGCATCCGCCATAAAGGGTCTGCCGACAAATGACTTCGACATCGATTCCCTGCTGCTGCAACAATTCAGCTGCATGGGCACCACGGATCACGAGGACCTCATCAGCCAGTTCCAGAGCCTCATGAACAACCAAATGAACCGGGAGTCCGCCAGGTTCTACCTGGAGATGAGCAACTGGTAAGAATGCATTGAACAAACACCATGAGCTACCAAGATCAGAAGGAGGTATACACATAATGTCTCGAGAACTCTTCAATTTCGTAAGGATATATTGATCAAACACTGAGTTAGCCAGATAATGTGATCAAAAAGATTAGGTTGTTAGGATCGGAAAGGTAGGAACTTAAATATGTGTCCCGAACTACTTTATTTGGTTAGGATTTAGAGATGAAAAACATTGGGCAACCAAGTTAAAAAGTAAGGAACCTAGATAAACACTTAATGTCTCGGAAATTTCTTGATTTATGAATTTATAGCTAGGAACAGCAGCATTATTGAGTTTAGGTTTCAAAGTGAAGATGAGCAATTGGTATACATATTTTGATCAAACACCAGGTGATCACGATCAAAAAAATTGTGTTTTCCAGTCAGGAATTTAGACTTTAGAATTTAGTTATCCATATAAGAAATCTGCCTTGTTAAGTTAGAAAGTTTTACAAATATCATTGACTTAAAATTTTCTTACAAAAACTGAACACTATATTATTTATAGATTCATAGGATTCATTATAAAGAGATGAATTTAATACTACTAATAAAGCACTAGGCTACCACAAAAATGATTAAAAACTTAAAAATTCCCTTATTTGTGATTGTTTTTTTCGTATCAAGCCGTTTTTCTGCTCCCACTTTAATAAACACATTCAATTGTTATTGAAAACAAACAAAGTTTTTGAGTTAGTCATAAAACTCTCGAGAGTTTTAAGTGTAAGAGATAAGGGTGCTTTGTGCCGACGTCAATGTTTAAAGAACTCTGTAAATTTTGCTGATTTGTGATAATTCAAAGGTAAAGATCACCCTATTTTGTGTCAGCGCGGCTTTATATTCTGAAGTAACATAATTTGATGGTAAAGTAAAGTTGATGGACTTAAATGTTAGAAAAACTCCTAAGGAAAAAACATATGTTTGCATAGAAACATTTGGATTTTTTACTAATTATAGAAGACAAATAGAAAATGATCAAATTAATCAAGTCTTTAAGTTTCCATCGAGATCTAATGAATCGAATTTTTGCCGCTTTCAGGAGCCTACAGACGGCGGTGGGCTGCTACCTGGACTTCTGCAGCCTGCAGTCCCTGCCCTCGATGAAGATCGTCCAGGGCAAGCACCTGAATGCCCAGCAGCAGGCGTTCCAGCTGCAGAACGACGGCACCGAGCGCTGGCCGAACAACTGCTATCTGACCTCGCCCATCCAGACGCAGCGCATCAATGTGCCCGCCCTGCGTCCGGGCGAAACTTGTGATATCCTGGCCGATCTGATGCCCACGCAGCCGCCGATTATGTGGCGGCTGTGCACTCCCAATGGCTGGTACTTTGGCGGTGAGCAAGAGACAGCCCTCGATCTTAGATCTAGATTCGCCCAATGTGCTAAAAAACCAGAAGTCGAAGAACACATTTGATTTATAGCAAAGTAATCTCACTTCAAAAGTGATAACAAATTAGTGAAAATCAACCGATAAAACATGGGAATCAATATATTTATACACATACATGCATGGACTAAACAACTTAATTAATAATATAACTAATTCTTGATCATTTTTTTGCATTTGAAGAAAGCCACTTAAAAATTAAGAATTTCTTTTCCATAAAAGCACTCTAACTTAATCAACTGTTTATTTAAATGTTAAATTAAATGTAATATATAACTGATTGATATATGGAAATTGTTGTTGGGGCGATATACACATAACTCATTTTACTTACAATATTTCAATTACCCCCAAATATTTTGTAGATTTTTAAACCAATTTATTTGATTTATATATTTACGTTGAGGCATCTTTAAACTAGTGTCTTTATATTTAATTTATTACTATAGTTTCAATCCTGGTTGTAAATTGATTTTTATTTTAAGTAGGATTCATATTTTTAGATTCGTTCGTGCTTTAAGGTTTAGAAAACAAATTCTAATGCCCCACTTTTTCCCTCTTTGCCCAAACAGATGCCATTTGGATGATACCGCCGGGCACGCAGGCCAGCCAGGACGAACTGCAGCAGCGGATGGTGCAGCTGATCACGTCGGAGAACAAGCCGGATGTCTATCCGCAGATCAAGATCGTGATAACCGCGCACACCCAATGAATGCGGCGTCCAGCAACCAGCATCCAGCATTCGGCATCCTCCTCCGTTCCCGAGCGGGGTCTTTGGTCCCAAAACTCATCGATAGCATTTCATAAACCTGCGCGAATGTAACATTTACGATATGACTAGACTTTCCCCTTACCCTGTTTTTCAATAGGCTTACAGTTGTTCTCAGTAGTGGATTTGTATACAGACAGGATCAAAACAATTTTATACACTTGATGCCCTGCATATTCCGGAATATGTAGTAGCCAACGCCATTCACGTGTACATTACAATATATAATTGATATATATATATATAAATACTTATACACCTCCATAACTAGAGTTTGAGTTCGTTTGTGAGCCCCTTCGTTGCTCCTTCCATTTCCCCCCCTCCTCTAATTTGGTGTCAGACGGATCAGCTTTATATATATCGGATGTGTCGGGAAGGGAGCGAGGGGCACGCGCGATAGGGAAAGAAGTGAAAATGAAAGTAAAAGTAAACGTAAAAGTGAGAATCAGAATCGTGTGGCCACATTATGTTCTTCTGTTAGTTTTTAGGCGGTAAAGTTGTGTGTGCGTGCGATTGTTTAATGCATAATTATATATTTTTTTCTATAATTTAAAGTCCTATTTTCTGATTAACCGAGAAGGAGGATTAAGCAGAAGAAAATTGTAACAAAATTAGACTTAAGTGTTTTATTGAGCAAAACAAGAAAAGAAGCGGAACGAATTATAAAGTTGGTTGCGTTTTATTTTGTGGGCGGCGGAAAGGTTATAAACTTATTAGCATAATACAAACGGAATCTGTTTCCTATGTGACGTGAAACTTATAATGAATTTGTATGATTGTGCGTGTTTTATTAAAAACACTAAAACTAGATTAATTAAAAAAAAATGTGGATTTTGATTAGCCATTTAAAAAAAACTTTTTTGCCACATTTGTTACATTTTTTTTTGTGATATGTATAAAAATATTTATATAAAACAAAATTAGAGTTCATAAAAGTTTTAAGATTATCAACAAAAATGTTTACTGCGTAACGTTTTTTTTAAATTCCTTGATGGGTAACATTTTTCTTATGAAATTATAGGCAGCACTTTTTATAATTTTCCTATCGGTCTGGCAGCACTCATGGTTAGCCATTCACACAATATTTTATATTTAAAAAATGCCCGCCCTCACTGCCATTCACAGTAAACTAGTCCTGAAATTGGATTAATTAAACTAAAAAGAAATCCAGTTAATCAAATTTGAATTCAAATCAGACAATTCGAAAATTTCAAAGAAAATACCAAATTGCTTTACGCTGTCGTTGATTTGATTTCGTATTTTGATCACATTATGTAATCTGATTACCAGGAATATTACTTATGCCTGCGACTATTTCCACGCCCTTGCATCTTCTTCTGGCTGCTGGTTTTGCATGAAAATCGTAATTGAGTCAAAAATGCAAAAATACAAAGTACACAATTACACACACACATTGGCACACACACATTGGCATACAGATGGGATCAAGGGTCGTTCGTGCGTTGGCACGGAAATGAAATGCATTGAAACGGAAAAGAAAATTATAATCCGTCGAGTAATAAAAGCAACAACAACAGCAAGGACTTGTCCGGGCAAAAAAATTTCTCTGCCGAAGTTTCAAATATACTTCTTAAAAATATGTTATAAATTTGTGGTATATATTTTTTTTAAAAACTAAAAAAATATAAGCTACAAAAACTGCGGATTTTAGTTCATATTGTTAGAGACATTCAACCACTACCTTTTTAAATTCGAAATACGATGGGTATAGTTATGGGCTTTACAAGGTGGAGTTTTGGGTCACCTGCTTTGGCAATTCACCGGAAACTTTAATATATTTACAATAAAAATGTTAGTATAACGTATTATAATTTTTTGATACTATGAAAAGGAAAAATAAAATCTATTTATAACAAAAAGGAAAGACTAATTTTTAGTAAACCTTCAATTAAGGTTAAATTCCAGTTTGTTTTCATGAAAGAAAACTGGAAAAACCCAAGAACCTGTGATAGTTTCAGGTTTTTTACAATATTTTAGATCGAAGGAGGGTACTCCTTGGAAGGGTACAAACGACGAGGACAACAACAATATCACCAACAACATCGACTGCCTTTTGACTTGAATTACAAATGGCGCACATGCAACGGGAAGTGATGAGGGGGGAGGGGGGACTTAGGATTATGGGAATATATTTGTGGGGCAGGGGTTTTCGGGGTGAGCGGTGCGAAAGGGAAGATGAGCGGATTGGGACCCCGTCATGTCATGGACAATCAAATCAAAAAGGCGTCAAAGCACAAGTCCTCTATCCACCCATACCCCCCTCTCTCTCACCCCCATCACCACCCCATTTGCCATCCCACTCTCACACAAATTGCGCGTTTTCTCGTTTCATGTAACACTGTAAAATTGCATTTGCGCCTTCCTATCCTGCCCCCTAATGTCCCTATCTACTCGCCGCCGCATCCTCATGTCCCTATCTACTTGTTGTTGTGCGCAAATTCAGATTATGATTTGATTGGCAAACAAGGGTTGGGGATTTTGGTCCTGGACGCGGGACCCCGGCCTATTTGATATTCATAGATTGGGAATTACAAGCAGCCATTGGCAATTGTCAACAATCTTTCACACACTCGACCAGTGGCTTAGACTGTGGTTGTTTAATGGGGTTATTTTGGGGGTTGCTCCCATCCACTTATTGGTTTGCCTACTCTAAACGATTATAGTTTGATTTATTTCCTAAACCATTTCATTGAGAAATCAATAATTAAACCCAGATATTTTTCATAATCTTTTGTAGTGATTTAATTTAATCATGATTTACAAATAAAGAGCTAACACTTAAATGCTTAGTGGAAGATATTCCTAAAAACACAGACCTTATAGAGAAATTCTGATTATAAACTGTAGATTGATTCATAAACTATGTTATTAATTTACCCATTAGAAAAACAATAAATGGCTTTAGATCTATAGTCGAATATTTGGTATTCCATGTAACATGCATATTTAAAGATAAAAGGGAACTTAGCTATTTCCCACTTCTGACAACTAAAATAAATGATTGTTTTATATTAATTAATTAATACTCACACTAAATTCAGAGATCCCTTTTCGGGACATCTAAAAAACCCCTTCGCACGCCTCTGCCTTCGTCCATTGGCACTCACACAAGGGCACGTGCTGATGTCAAGTTGTTACAACGCCGGCAATTTGTTTGTTCATTTCGTTTCGTTTCATTTGTTTTTGCCCCAGCCGGATTTTCATTGCAGGAAAAGTGCGACGGGGGCGTGTCAATTGGAAAAGCAAATAAAGATGAAAACAGCCCGGTATTTCCCGCTGGGGTTTGAGGCGAAGTGGGCTAACTAGTTGTAGGCCTGTTTTCCATATTCAAAAATTGTGTAAATGCAGAAACACATATACATTTTCAAAAGGCAATCCAAAAATCCAATCATTAAACTTTTTTTTTATGGAGTGAAGAAAAACTTGACTGAAAACGGTGAAATTTTCAACCTTTAACTTTAATGATTTCATTTCACTTGTGTACTTAATTATTGCTATTAATATCTGATTAAGGAATTCGGTTTAGAAAGTTACTCCAAAGCCTACTTAGAATATGCTCAAAGATATTTAAAAATTAAGATAATAAAACTATATTCCGACTTATTTGTTATAGTATTAGTTAATAAAGTTTTATAAACCTTTCTTTTAGTTCTATTAAAATTTCGTGTATTTTTGTAATGCCTTTGCTTTATTTTCTTGAGTCGCATTCCAATCAAGCTGAAACCCACCGATATCCCCGCCTCCCACAAGACGGAGCCCATTAAATGCATAAAACAATTGCCAGACAGTTTGACGCTGTTGGGCAACCTCGAAATGCAATTTCAAGCCCCGCTCACTGCTTCGCAATGCACTGAAAGAAATATTGGTTGATAAAATATTTTGACTTTAGAATTAAATAAAATCGTATTTCAAAATGAAAACGAATCTGTCATCATTTGAAATAAATAAAATAGGACAAGAATATGATTAAGCTTACAAACAACTTATTGAAAAAACTGCAAGGTCACACTTTGCCTTTTCGTAAGTGAATAATGATCGGGTGAATCAATATCAGTTTCAGGACTAAAACAATATTATTACAAATTAATATAAGAAAGCAATTCAATGGATAACCCAAATTAAATTACATTAAAATGTTAACTTTTTGTTTATAACAAATAGCAAGGTCACACTATTTAATTTTCTGAACTAATCTTTACCTGACAAAATCAAATCAATATCACTATTACAATTTAAAAGGGTACAATAAACCAATTTGATTTTAGATATCTAACTTCATAATATCGAGAAATGGGTTATATTAGTTTTTTTCTGTGCCGATTTAGGCCCAGTTTTGGTTCGATTCAACCCGGCTCAATTCGATTCGATTCAATTCGACTCCATTCGATCCGATTCGATTCGATTCCGTCCGCTCTGTCCCGCTTGGTGGTCGATTTTTATGAGCGCCGCGCGTTGACAGCTTAAAAGTCTCTTAGCATGAAAAATATTGTCAACGCCAAATGGCGATTCTCGGCCGTTGTTTTGGATTGTGGGCTGTGGAAAGGAAAACTCTCTGACCGCTGATGTGTGGCGGCGATAAGATTTTGATAGGGGGCCCCGATTTATGCGAGGCAGCCAGCCAGGACTTTTAACTTATCGGCGGAAAGTGACAATCAAACGTATCGACTGCCACAGCATTAGGGGCACTCATAATTACCTCACTCAAATCACTAAACTCGAAGTCGACAAAACAAAAATAAAGTCGAACAAAAATGAGGAACTCAACGTCGTTGGGGCGAGTAAATTAATTTCACAAATTGTGCGGCGATAAATTCGATTTCAGATACTAAACTCTAACCCGTTGGCGTTTGGTTCGTTCGCTTGTCCGTTGGCCTTTTAAACAAACATGATTTTGTACTTTTATTTTATGCCATATTTAAACTGATTTAATTTGATGCTCGGTCTCGCCTTTCGATTGGGTTTTTTTATGCATATTGCCCGGTTGGTCTATGGGAATTAACATAAAACTTAAAATTACCCCGCCCGGGGAAAACTCTTTCGCCTCGGTCCAATCTTATTTCCCTCGCCTTTATTTGTGGCTCTTTTTGTACGATTTTGTCTGTGGGCCTTTGTCCGCTCATCATGATATATAACAGTCGATAACGCCTAATCGCCCCAATGCGAGCATATATCATTCGGCCGGGGAGGGGCTCTTTTATTTTGAAACTACCTTGGGAGGTGCCAAGATGTGCCATCTAAGTAAGTGAACATTTTCCACTATAACTTGGACCCGACATCATAAGCAATCTATCTCAGTGGAGAGTTAGGAAATCGTAGAGCTTAACAATTTAAAACTGCAAGCTCAATATTCAATTATTCCATACTTAAATCATCTGCAGTTTAAAATTGGTTGCCTAGTATGAAGTTCTTTTATATACTTTTAAAACTTTTGTTTTTGTTTAAATGTTAATTTTATTAGGTCAATATTTTAACTAATTTTAAAAAAATTTAATTGCAAGAAAATAGAAATAGAAAATAATATAAATCAAAAAGTAAGTAACAACAGAATATTTAAATAATTGCGTCCAGATTAAAAAAAAAGAAAGAAGTAATATAATATTTAAACAATTGCAGTCGGATTTTAAATAATTCTTATAAGTGTTTTAT